GGGTTAAACCACGACAACTGATAACACAGCAGATCCAAAGGCAAAGTTGCATTGTTCCGGAAACAAAAATCTCAGTTTCTGTGAAACAAAAATGGCTTCCCAGTTTGCTCCAGACCCAAAGGCTTTTAACTGACTCATTTTCCTGTTTTGATTTGGTCAGTTGCAATAGATACCAGGCACTCTGAGTAAAGACAAATATTTGAGGCAGTTAAGTTATGGCTTCCAGTAGCCAGTCCTATAACTTCCAGTAACAGGATTCTGTAATAGAAGGCAGACAGGAGAACAGATCTGCAGATGCCAGTTACTTATTATGGAAGCTGACTTATATGGCACAAGTACAGCACTCAGTCTTAACTGGCTAAGTGAATTCACAGCCAGTTACATAAATCTGCTCACAAATACTAATGTTCTAGCTCCAAATGCTGCATTTTATCTGTGCAGCACAGCCCCACATCTTGATAGGTGGCTGTCCACAACAGTGCCTGAGAGCAAGAGAATTCCTAGGTGTTCCACAAACATCCTCCTAGCATTTTAATATTAAAAACAATTCCAGTATGTGATTGTAGATTAAGTTTTAGTGGCTCTCGGGCAGCAGATTATAGTTTTAGAGCACATACATCATCCAGTATGCAGGAATTTAGGAAAGCAGCAGCTGTATAAGCAGCTCACACAAAGCACATAAAAAGCGTGCTATTTTTATTAGCAAGCATCGGCATTCAGGTCCTCAAAGATCTGAAGTGGAAGTTCAGCAACAGGCTTATTTTTGGAGCACTACTTCATTTCATCTGAGGAGATTAACACTTTAAACATTAACTCTTACATCGCCTTAGATGTGCTGTAGTACATTGGATACTGATGGCAAGAAAGCAGAGCCTAAAATTTGTCCATGTTAGGGAACACCCTGAGAACTGCTGCCTGCATTACAACAGGTGACAGGTTATTTTTTCCCCCCTTTACAGAGCAGTTTGGAGATACTTAAAGGATGCTTTACAGATCAAACCTTGTTTGAACCTTGTCCCTTATTTGATGTTAGGGAATACAATTTGAATTCCAATCAAGAAAGCTCATCTAAAAGTCTGCAGGGTTCAACCCCCCCCCGCAACACGTAGAAAGCAGCTTTTTCTGCATCAGCTCAGCTAGACTGTTCAATATGACGAAGACACAGCAAATATGTAACAACAAAAATTTAAAAGCAGCTTACAGAGCTTCCATGTCCCCTGAGTCTCTGAAAAAGAAACTAACATAAGCGGAGTAGAAGTGTTTGCTGCCTACAGAAACTGTATGAAGTCAGAAATATTTAAAAGTACAGACTGGCCTCCTTGGTTAAACCACCTCCTTCCCAATTTAGGCAGCTTTTAGTTAGTAAAGTGCCCATCCCACCCCTCCTCAACCTTCATTAACTACAAGAAGTATTCTAGTCAAAACAGGGCACAAGTATTACAGCACATCTTCCTTGCTGATGAGCTAGAGAACACAAGGCTGCTGCCAATGCCACAGCAGAGCATCTAGTAAGGACTCAGACCCCCTGAGGCTGCTTCTCTCCCCAGGGTCCATGCTTCAACTTATCAATAGGGAGCTGCCATTCTTCTCTGCCTCTCAACATGTTCACCTGCCAAAGCTTCAGGAGTAACACTGTTCTTCTAGTTTATTATTCTCCTGGAAGTGTTCCTCCCAGGGTAAAACACTAAGGGGATGACAGGAATCAAACACTGTTTGCTATTAGATAGAAGAAAAGAACATTGAAAAGCTTGAAGACAGCTTTTCTGACTACTTGTCTCCTTGCATCTAGGAGAAAAGCAATGACAGTGCAAAAGAGTCTTATGGTACCAGGCAGCCTGCTTATCCAGTATAGGTTATTGTGCAAACAAAGGATAAGAAGGATCTAGGCTGGATCTTTGACAGTGTTTACTAACAGCCTTGACAGTCATTTGCCTCAATCTTTGAGCAGGTTGCCTTTATTAATGATAAAAGTGTGCAGACAGCAAGGATAATTATTTTCGATGACACCTGTGCCACACCTCTACAGGAATAAAGATACACACACAGACTTGATAGAAGAAATTGGGAACAGCCAAAAAAATGTCTAGCCCAGTACAGCAAGCACTGGCCAAATTTGTCCTCATGAATCAAAGAGCCAATACTGCATTTCTACAGGAATAAGAGAACAGATGGCAGACTTTCCGTACCAATTTGAAAGACAGGAAAAGGAGAGAGCTGCAGCCAAGGGTTCGGCCCAAGTGCTCAAGGGCACCAGTAGCTGTGCTGATTTGCAAGTTTCCATGCAAGAAGCAGTTCTTTGAATGAAAAAGGGTCTGATTATGCTACTCCACTTGGTAAGCCAAAGTACAGACCTGGATGGGGGTAGAGGAAGGGAAATAAAGAGGTAAGAAAACACAAGCTCTAGGAAGACAGTCTCTTGCTTACCAGTGTTTGATCAATATGTAGAAAGCTTCTAGCAGTTTAGAGAACTGTAAAAAGCAGTACTAACATCTGCAAGTATAAGGTACCTGGCATGCAGCCATCTCAGGCAGCTTTACTAGCCAAAGGTCTTAAATTATTCATCCACCATCATTTGGCTTACTGAATGACACTATAGTTACAATGTATTGAGTAAGTCCATAGGTGAGGATGGTGCCATGAAGGGGAAAAAAACCTCAAAGTGTTTTTTTTTCCAAGTATTTTTGAACAGCTGCACAGATAGAATAACTTTGCATATTTCTGCTTTCTCCCTGCCATCCTGTTTTTTTCCAGCAATATCCTCACCCATTCCTCCCTTAAGCATAAGGGAGCTGAACAAACCAGGTCTGAAAGCCAGTTCACAGCTGTATAGAAGAATTGGTATTACAAACCCAGTACTGATACAAGAGGAGGGATTGCTGGGGTACGTATTTTGCTTTCATGGTAGAATTTGGAAGAGCTGCTTAATCAGCTTTCCTAACACTCTGAATAATTAGCAAGCAATCAAAGCCTTGCAAGATTTTTCAGAGCAGTATGGCACAAGCTGTTTTCACATAGCTTTTTGCTAATTAGTCCTACCAACTATTTCACGCATAATTGCAGGAATTTAAATATATTTGTTCCCCTTTAGTCTCCAGGCGACTTTCATACCTAAAGACCGGATTTCTGATTTTTTTTTTTAATTTCTGTATTGAAAAAACTGTGATAACATCAATAGAATAGCAAAAAATCATATATATGTCATCTTCCCTGTAAGCCCTTTCAATCCCCAACAGCAATTATATTCCTGTCTCTTCTAACAGAGGTGTACAGGTAACAAGCCTGAACAACTACCTCTTGACACATTTTGTTGTAGTTCATTTCAGCTGTGTTTGTTTCCTGGGGTCATGCAAGCCTCTCAGACAGTGTTCTGCCCAAGAACCATGTGTTAGAAATCACTGCTAGTTTTCATAGAAGTTGGCAAGCCTGAGCTCTGAGCTGATCCAGAGAAAGTAAACCACCCAAGATTGCACACTATTAATGCAATACTAGGGTTCTGCAAGAACCTCTTCACTCCTGCAATTAACACATAACAGATGTATTGTTATTTTTAGACATGTTCTGCATTTTTACTCCTTTGGGAATGCTTTGTTCTCTGAAAGTCAAAAATATACCTCTAATGCAGTAGTGCTAGGAGCTTGTGCTGTGAGAACAGAGCTGAAACAGGAGTAAAACAGACTCTGAATTCGCTTACAATGTGTTTCCAAAGATTAGCCTGATACTAATATGCCTTAAAGGCTGATCATCAGCACAGCTTTAGGCTTGCTCTTTCAGTGACTAGGGACATGTCAACCTGAAGTGCCAAGACTGAGATGACAAGTGTCCAAGATACACTAAGGAGGTTCTAGTTACTTGGTATTTTTTAGGGAAGCAACTGCTTTGCAGTTAAGGCACTAGCCATAAATCAAGAATCCAATTTCAATACTCAGCTTCAACACACACTTAGATTACTCCAAACTCAGAGTGCATCAGGGAACCCTCTTTAGGCTCCAATTTAAAACAGATAATGCTTTGTTTCCTGTAAGAGTTTACAGATCCTATGGCTTAAGATCTTACACTTTATGTAATCAAGGCACCTAACAGCACTGCTAAAAGCACCTCATCTCCCCTAGAAAGACTATCATTAAGTCAGCTTGACCTTTGAGATCCAAAAGGTTCATGCAGCTGCATTCAGCACCTACTAGATAACTGATGTATTTAGGGCTTCTAAATAGGACTTGCAAATTTTCAAAGTGATTGCAGAAGAAATACTGTAATCAAAATCCTTGTGCCTCCAAAGCCTCATGAAACTGTAGTAAATGCTTCATATTATCAGTGAAGGTAAGGGCAGCTGCACTGATTTTGGAGGTCCTAGAATGGAAGAGCAAGGATCAGCCTGCTCAAATACACAACTGACAAGGTCAATCTGAAAGTGGATTCAACAGGCTTGGAGCTGGCTAGTATGTCATTACTTTATTAAACTAGTTATGATGATGTGCTCTACCCAGTAACAGGTTTCATTAGTCTTCATCAACTTAAGGCACTTCAAATAAGAGTAGACACTTTAAAACCAATAGCCATCCCTATGTTCATTGCAAGTGTACAGACACCAAAAAAACACTTCCTTCCCGTAAGCCCCAACAGATTTCTTCCCTAATAGAAAGGAGAGTACATGAACAGGAACAAGTGCTGACTGCATCCCTCCCTCCCCCATTTCCACAGACAGTGGGCTATATAGTGTAGGTATAGTATAATATCAGCATATACCTACCATACAGAAGGGCAGGGATGACTTTTTCCATACAACCATGGAGAGCCCTGCACAACAAGACTTGGTCCTAACTCAGGTACCTGGGACACTAACAATAATGAAAAGCTTAACTTGGAACATGTTTATTTTCCCAAGAGAATACCCTGACACTCATTTGCACTCAGGTTTAAGAAACACACTAGGCAGAAGAATGGTTAAGTGCAGCTCTTCTCCCTGTAACACAGGTCAACACAGAAAAACATATACTACTTACTCTTTGGTCAGAAGTGGGCAGGATTTGATGAGAAAGCGGGCCAAAGCAGAGTCCTGGTAAATGAGTTCAGGAGGGGCAGTTGGGCTTTTTAAATTCAAGCAGCGAACAATAACATACAGAACAGCAGCAACTGCAGCTAGCTTCACCCCATCAAACACTGCCGGCAGCTCAGGGGTTTCCAACATTGCACTCATTTTGAGCCTGGAAATAAGAACCAATATTAAAGCTTTTTGCAATATACTGCTGGATATGAATATCAATTGCCATGTTAAATATAAGACTGTGCTAACCAACTAAATTTGTCAGTTAACACTGCTACAAAAATCATAGCTTATCAACTCAAGACTAACAACTTCTAAGATGAAAGGAAGTTTATTTTGTACTGCTCAAACCCCTGACCACCACAAGAAATAGAACCTGGATGATCAGTTGGACAGGAGATTTATTCCTAATCAGTGCTACACTAGAATTGCAACAGTGTCTCAGATGTCAAACCCTACAGTTTGCAGACAGTCAATACTTTAAGGATCTTGGCCACGACTACCCAGCTCAAACAGAAGCTGAGTGAAAAGCCAGGCTATAAAGTCACATCAGCAGCTTTGGACATGTCTTTCTTCCCAGATGTACAAGCTAGACTTGAAAAGGAGACCTTCAAAGAACTACTGTGTTAGCTCCACAGCCTGAATTTTGCAACTCCATGAGAATACTGGTACTAACACCTGCATGTATTTAAGGTGGTCACTTTACACACCAGTGAGTTCAGCATTTCTTTTAATTCACTGTAGTTCTGCAGCTGAAGGAGAACTAGATTAATACCTAGTCTTGCAAGGGCTTCAAAGGAAGTGGGGCAGGGGAGAGAATTAAAAAAAACCCACAACATCACAACATCCTTCCAGCTTGAAATCAAGTTCTTAAACCAATCCAGTTTCTTTTGAACATATGGTTCAAATAGCTGGCTGCAGTTATCACAGGGACATTTCATCCATATTGAAGGGGCTGGTTTTTTCCTGGGTCCTTCCTCAGACACACATGTAACCCAAGTCAGATAGCAAGTGACAAGTCAAGTCTTACCAATGTCACTTTTTCTTCAAACTGGAAATAATTGCCAGTCCTCAGTAGAATTGTCACTGTCTGGATCCACGTGCTACTGGAGTCACCCTGTGAGGGGAGGAAAAGCAAATTGATTATTACTGATAAGGTTACATCTCTCAGCTGGAAGGGAAGAACACAAATTTATACAGAGGTCCCATCATAGACATTGCAATTGATTTGTGTATTCAGTCCTACCTGCTTCAACTCTGATCCATCTGCATCAAACCTCTTGCCTACAGATAGATTCCAGACTAGATCAGTTGCCTACATCATATTAATTTATCTACAGTATGCAAATACACCTTCATGAGATAGGCAGAAAGCAATAATGAAAACCAGTGCAACTTCAGAGGAAAGCCAAGCTATGAACTTCCAGAACAACACACATTCACCATCTTCACAGGAGAGTGACATTGTCCCCAGTTACAAAAACTACCCAAATCCCTTCCTATTTAAAAGGCTAGAAGTAACTTCTCAATTCTGTGCAATATCTACACTGTTACTGAAGTGTGAAGCCAGTCTGAAAGAAGTTTCCTGCTACTTTTAGTCAGGCTTAGCAAAGCAGCTCACTCCTACACATGGAAGCTTGTAAACAGTCTCTGCTTGTTCCCACACTTGCTTTTTTGAGAAGTTACAACATACCACACTTCAAGATGATGAGAGCCACCAGGAGGCTCAGATACAGCCACCTAATTAACACTAGTGCATATGCACCAAGGCTTGTTACAAGAATCTGATGATGCCAATAAAAGAGATAGCTTTCAGCCTGTAACTGTAAAAATGTAAGTGGTATTTACAATTAGAACTGGATTCCCTACAGGCACAACAAACCAATGGGGAATTAGAGCTTCCAGGAAAAAGCTCCAGAACTGTCTGCTCTCTACCACAGCTACTGCTTCTAACTTGGAAAACACACCAATGGGACAGACCATACCAAAGCCTTACTCTTCTTCCTAGCAGGAAGACAAAACCTCAGAAGTACTTTCTGTACACAGTGCAGCTACACTAAAATCTCTTGGAAGAAATCAAGTCTGACATCAGCTATTGATTAACAGCATGCTGGAAAGCTGCAAGTTTCTGCCACCATAACCATCTGTGTTGCAGGAGAACAGAGGGTGAGGAAAGTGGAGACATTTAATTTTTGACAACTCTGAAGCTTTTATTTTCCAGTTCTGAGCTTCACAGTAGAACGGAGAGAAGAGCAGGCTACAAAGCCATTTATTGTTCTAATCAGCAAATTACATTGGCATCATGTATCTCAATGAAGAGTTCGAGTACAATGTTCAGCTCTAGCACATTACCTCACTTCCACACTTAGTAGACTTTCACCAACACTACCATCAACTGCACAGAAGACAACAGGCCAACTACAGCAATGGCTTCTCCAGGGAAGGTACAATCAACAGAAGAGCAGACCAAGTTTGTGAACAATCACTGACTCAGGGACAACTAGGTGCTTGAGCAAATCTTCCCCCCAGCTGAAACACCCAGAAGTTCTGTTGGCATCTTCCTTTCACTGTTTTATTTAGAAAATTAACAGAGACACTGATACAAAAGTTATCCAAGACCTTCCTGCCACCTGGATTTCAAGCTAGTTTGCTATTTACAGCTTTCACATTATTAGTGAATTTGTTAAAAATAAAATTGGGCATGATTAGTCATTAGCATTTTGTATTTGTGACTCAATATAACCAATCCAACTAAGCTGTATCACCCTGAGAGTCTTCTCTCCCACATAATCTTCAGATTACAAACACATCTTTTCTGATACTTCCCTCATTTTAGCCTGTTGCTACCTTAAAAAAGCATACTAGCTTGGAGTTACTTTCAGAAAAATCAGCTGTTGGTAGACAGGATTATACTTCGACACTTGTGAACTACTATTTTTCCATTTTAGACAGTCTAACTACACATTCACTGAACATACACACCTCAAACATGTGCTAGAGGGTCATGTATTTGTCAGGATCTTTACCTAAAAGCTCAGATCAGTCTGTGTACAGCTAACACGAAGTTGGCCCTGCTGTTGCAGTTGCACAGCTGTCTGCAATGATTAACTAAGCAATGGGATCTAGTCCAAGATGACTAGATTGGTAAACTCCATGCCCTATGGATCCAGCTGTGGCACTTCAGGTACCTCCTTGAGAGTCTGGTATTTCTGAAGACCTAAACAGACCCATCTCAGCCAGGGCAGATTTGCAGGGGCTGAGCCAGAGCACCCTGCTCTAAAATTTTAAGGGTTTAGCTTACTGAAATGGATTTGAGAGCTCTGCCTCTAATCACGTAGGACAAATGCCTCCCTATTTATGAGCAGGAATGAGGTCACCTTGCTTCTGTTTTGTTAAACCCTTTTTGCATTGACCCAATAAACTTGTCTGTTTATGAAAAAGGACAGATAACCAGTGTTGAGCCAGTCAAATTTTAATCTAGGATCTCCTCTAAATGGCTCAGCATTAATATAAACATATGAACATTTGGTCTTTTCTGTATACAGAACACTAGACTCACTTTTAGCAGGCTAGACAAAATGAGGAAGAGGCAGTAAGCACATCACTGAAGCAATCAAGCCTGCCTTTTAATCCATCACAGGGTTTGAGATCCACATTGAGGAACACAAAGAAGTTGAAGCTCTTGGGGCCAAGGATGTTATTTTGAAGCACCTTAAGTGTACAGTTCTTTTTTTAAAAATCACTAAAAGGTATGACAGCCCCAAAGACTGACAGTCTTTTCAAGCAATATTCTTAAGTCCCCCTTGTGACCAAGGAATAACTTTAAAATCAATCACTGGAAAGCAAGTGCTGGATTTGTGGAGTCTTTTCATTTGTCCTTTCATCACAGAATAAAAAGCTGAAAAACATGTTATAGGAAACACTTCAAAATTACTGCTAACAGAGTGCACCTCACCTGTACAAGTATAATGAGAAAAAATACCCATGTCTCCACTTTCCAGACAGGAACAGAAACAAGTACAACAAAAGGCAGTAAAGCTACAGCAAATTCCTTATATATCCTTTCAAAAACACTGGGTTTTGGGAAAGCCATCAACAATTTTACTTGTACAGTAAGTGAACTCACAACTGACAACAAATCTGAGACCTGCACACATTTCTGTTCCAGGTTTACTGGGGAGAGGAGGCTCTTCCAGGGACAGAAGTCACTTCACCCTGTGACTCAAGGGGGCACGCACAGGATTTGGTAACTACCAAGCATTACAGCTCCTCCACCCACGCTGAAGCAGAGCCTGACTCTGCATACTGGAAAGCCAACATTAAAAAAGCAAAGACATTAAAGGAAGCCACTCCCATAGGGTCCTTCCCTTAGGCCTTTTAATGAGCAAGAGACTCATTTCACTGAAGCATTAGAAATGCTTTGGGCTAAAGCAAAGATGCAGCTATATGGAACTGCCCACAGACAAGAGTAAAGGCAGCCTCTTTAAAAGGGGCTCCACTAGCAAGATATTTTATGGTCCATTACATTCACTGAAGAATCTTGAAGGAATCCTGTTTCCAGGAATGACAGTTTGATACAAAAGCCTCCTAGATGCCCTCCCACCAGTAAGCATTCTGACTCACTAGTGCTTTCAGAGCTCAGCTGGACACCAAAACACTGGAGCATGCCTGGCCAACACTGAAAGCCTTTAAAAATCCTCTTTCCTATCCTTTTACAGCTTCTACCAAGTAGTGTAATACCCTCTCTTCCCCACTAAGATTCAGAAGAGCCAAAGAGGCTGTTTCTAGACAGATTAAGCAGACAGACTTCGTTAACTAACTTATCAGACATTTCTTGGACTAATTTCATTTATTTGTAGTGCCTGCTTGGGGACTAAAACTCTGAAAGCAAGTCTGCCAGACCAGAGGAAAGCAAAACACCCTACTTTAAAGAGTTGTGCCTAGGCAGATTCAGATCAGAAGTAATTTCTGCCCCCCTCCAGTCTTTGAAGGGGGAAGAAGGAAGGCTGTTTCACTGAAGTTAGAATGTTTCCAGGAAATTAATCATCTTTAATATCAGCCAAAGCTAATGCCTCTTCCAAAGTGACAGGTCTGTCACTACCAGGTAAGATACTTAGAACCATTATGGAGAAGGGAACTTTATTAAGGAAAGGGTGGGAAGTCAGAGCACTACAAAGGTTTTTAAATAAAGCCAAGTCTTATGCCAGCATATTATTTGAATCTCACTTCAGGAGGTGCACAGAAGTGTGTCACACTGCTGAGATTTCAATGATTTAAAGGCAGAGGAAGATGTTTAGAGACCATCCAGATGAAAATATACATAGGAAACATACACCTGGGAAAGACTCTGAAGCAACGTGTCTTGATGGGAAAGGCTGGCAGACTAAGGTTTTGTAAAGCACTGGAGGACAGTCTGAGGTCCCACAAGCTACATGAGTACATGAATCTGTGCAAGGGGAACCATGAAAAAAACCTCAAGCTTTATTGCACAGTCCAGTATCCTGCCTTTTACACAGCACCTTTTGTATAAAAGATGCTTTCATTTTTACAGAAAAGTGTTAAGCCTAAACTGCTACTTTAAGGTCTCAAAAAAATTACATAGATACAAGTATTTTAGGGCCATACCAGTACTACGCTTCATTGGTTTAGACACAAAGCAAGGCATTACACTGTTTGAGACTGGCATCTAACCAGCCCAATCTTACCCCATGTAGAACCTCTTATTATCTTCAGCAGTAGCTCAGAAGAGAACACGTCAGAAGCAAATGCTGAGGTCATCTTGATGTATCACTCAGCACTCCTGTCCATTTAGAACAGCCAACTAAGTCTCAGACCTCAAAGCATAGAGGGTATAATTAAGAATTAGCTGAGCACTTCAAGCACTTAAGCTTAGGTTTCAGGAGATGTGGCCATGAAAGATAAAGCGTAGTCCTCGCCACAGTCATGAGGAGTCTGGTAAAGCCTACTGCAGTTCTGTCATCAAACATCTGACAGATTTTATCTCCAAATAAAGAGTGCATGCTGACATATCCCATCACAAGGATGCTTTAAAGAACATTATTTGCACAGCACACAGAAGTCCTTGGTGCAAATCCCTCTGCCTTGTGCGAGAGCCAG